CCTCCCCCTTGGTGATGAGGAAACATTCTGTTGAACTTGGCACCTTGGCTTCTCGGAGACCTTGGCTGTTTGTAATCTGATGCTATCAGGTTGTTGCATAACCTTCCCCACTGGGAAGCACACTCTGCATCCGGGACCTTCTCTCGGGCATGGGTAGGAGCAGGGGGCGAAAGGCCAGAGGTGGGCAGGGAGAGGGAGCACAGGACAAGGGATATTGGTCCCCAACCAGGGCCAGCGGGTGGGGACCCAGTGGAGGTTGAATTGTGTGTCCTTTGGGCCTTTGGCCACGAGGCTTGCAATGTCCCTGCAACCACACTTGAGGCCAGCTAGGCCAGCCAGAACCGCCCGTCCCAGCAGAGGCCTGGCTGCCCTTTGTCTAGGAACCGTGCACATCGGGCATCCCTGGCAAGGACACGCGTGCATATTTAGAAAGGAGGCTACTGGTTAGAAGGTGAGGGAGCGGGCACGCCTCAGGACGGGCACGCCTCAGGACGGGCGTGTCCTCCCCACGGCACGGACGCGGGCCCTCCGTGGGCCAGGCAGGTGCTGCGGCCGGGCCGTGTCCGTCTCATCAGGCGGGCCAGCCCGGGTCAGTGGACGGAGCCCACGTCCTGTCACGATGCTCCAAATCCGTCTAAACAAACAAAAGCCGTCCTGGCCAAGCCAAGCGCAGCGTGTGAGCTGGCGGGCTGCCGCTTCTGCTAGTCTCTGTCTGTCGTTTTCTGCGTTATTTTCGGATGGCATTTTGCTGGGCATTTCCATGGCAGGCATGGGCCGAAGGAACCTGCTTTGAACTGCACATATACATCCTCTTCGGTGACTTTCCCCAGCCCCGTGAGAGCGTACACCGTGTTTTCCCTTCGTGGCTGGGGAGGCTGGGTCTGACAGGGGGCGGGGGGGGCTCTACCCACCTGCCCTGGCCATTTGGCTCAGTGGTTAGAGCGTCGGCTCACGGACCAGAGTCGTGGGTTTGATTCCGTTCAAGGGCACGTAACCTCGGTTGCGGTTCGGTCCCTGGCCCTGGTCGGGGTCGTGAGGGAGGCAAACAATCGATGTATCTCTCTCACCTGGATGTTTCTCTCTCTCCCCCTCCCACTCTATCAGAAGATAAATGGAAAAATATCCTCGGTGGAGGATGAAAAAAAAGAGTTCTGCCCACACACAGCCACACAAGGAGGACGGGTGGCCCTGGAGCCAGACCGGAATTCTGCCTGCGTCCCACAGTGCCTCCTTCTCACCTTGCTAGCCTTCCTCAGACTCCGGCCCTCAGCCCATCAGAACCACCTAGGACAGAGTCCCCCCGGACTTGGAGGCTCGGGGTTCTCCTGGTGGTCCCACTCTGCCGAGAAGTTGCGGACGCTGTCTTTGTGACTCGGGGTGACATGGCACTGCGTCCCTTCTGGGAGAGACTTCTATTCCTCAGGGTGGCCCCGTGGGCCCTCTGGGGCGGGCCAGGAATCCACGCGTCACGGAATGCCACTCCAGTCCATCGCCAGGGAAGAACAAGAAGGCAAAGTCATGAATCACGGTTCTGTTTATATTTTGGTTGCCGAGGCTAAATATTTATTGCTTTAAGTAAGAGGTTCTGCCTTAATTAGAGTCATAACTAACCACAAGCGCATTGAAACATATTCTCATGACCGTGGGGCACGCTCTTCTCAACGGAAAGCCATGTGCAACTAACACTTGGCACGGGCTAGTGCCACTGGTCAGAGAGTTGGGGTTTATCTCAACTGGCAAGTAGCTTTGGGGATCAAAAAGCACAGAGAAACTTCATCTATGGACTTGCGTATTCTTCTTGAAGGTATACAGGTGTGGGCAACAGGCAAGCCTGTGAGTAAAAGCGTCAGGCTACATTGAACTTTGAAATGCATTACGTCCACTTGCTGAGGGTGCTCCTGCCCACGACTTCTGGAATGGTTGCTCTTCACCTTCAATCACCTGGCGTGCATCCAGCCCAGCTGAATCACAGTTTCTGGGAAAGAGACCTTGGCGTGGGTATTTTTTATACGCCCCTCGTGATTCTAACACGCATTTAGGGGTGAGTGGGGAGACTGTCCTAGAAGATTTAATGGGTGGTTGTACTGGCTGCTTAGTTAGACCTGGATTCAAATCCTAGCTCTAGCATTTGCTAGCTGTGTGACCTTGGGCAAATTACATAACCTCTCTGATTTTCTTCATCTGAAAAATGGGTATAAGAAGTACCTGGCTCTCATGGTTATCATAAGGATTAAATGTGCTCATGCAAGGAAGCTGTCAGCATTGTGCTCAGGAGAGCTTAACTTGGTGCTTATGCTCAGTCAACAGCAGTGAATAGTGTCGCTGTTGTTATTGTGTTTCACTGGAAATGAGTTTCCACACGTAGGAGCGTGATCACTGGAGATCACTGGGGGGCCGGAAGCAGCTCTCCTGGGATTTGGTCTCTGTTGGTGCAGAGAAACCACAGTGAGCACGGTGATTCTGATCATCAGACGCCACAGTGCAGGGGAACAGAGAACATGTCAGAGTTTTAAGGCTGTCCACCCCCAGCAGGGCCACTCAGATGCTGGGAGTCAGAGCACGGTGGTGTCCACGCAGTGAGGGATATATATTTTCATAACTGCTTACGCACACCCTGGCACTTTGCAGTTAAATTGCTTCTGAGAATGAGGTCTCTGGGCATGGCTGGGGTATCTAATCGTGTCTCTCTGTCAAAGCCAGAACCCAGGGGCAGCCAGCACTAGCTGGTCGGTCTTGCCAACTTAGGGGGGGATGGACCCTCAAGTGTACCCACTGAGGGGCTTCGCTCAGCCAGCCTTTTCTCTCTTTCTCCTAATCCTGAATCTTTGCCTGGGGACTGTTCTCTTGGTTGACATATACACATTTTATAACTGATTGAATTCCTTCTAATCCCTCCAGCATTCAACCCTCTGCTGGGAAAAAAAAAAAAAAAAAAGGCAAACATATTGAAATATTTTTCTCCGCAAAACGACCTAAGGAAGTCCCTTGCCTGAAAACAGCAACATAAAACCTTGTGGCAAACGAGCAGAGTCCTTAGTGGTGAAGACCAATGAGCAGATTCATTCAGGGTCAGCGCAGCATTCTAGAGACATCCTGGAGGCAGAAACCAAGTCCTGGGCCCGCCCTGGCGCCCCTTACCGGCCACTGCGTGGCGCGCACCCCGGCCCGCTGGGTGACCGTCAGAACTGTCGGCTGATTTCTTGGAACCGGGGCCTCCACTTCGCTCAGCATCTACCTTAACGTCTGAGCAAACCTGTCTGAGTGTAGCGCACCGTGGATGTGCAAACAAACAGGTTCTATATTTCACCCACCTGCCCCCTAGCTCCCGCATAAATCCTCCTCGTGGGGGTGGGATTCTCTGCAGAACCCTGCCCCTACTGCGTGGGCACTTCCTGCCTGCCCACCTTTGGCCTTAGCTGTGGTGTAACCCCTGCACCCCAAGCCACGTGGGAGTGCGTTTCGTGCTGTCTGTGGTTCCGAGTCTCTCGTCCCTGTGCGTCGGCACTTGGGGGCGGGCTCGTGTGCGTTGGTGGACTGTGGGTCTCTCGTCGTAAAGAACACGAGATGTCTTGGGCCAGGCCAGAGAGCTTCCATTCAGCCTGCACTACTCCACTTGGTTCCGAGAGCCCCACACTCCTGAACATGAACGGCCCGTAGGCGGGAGTTGTTTTGTGTTCTGATTCTCACTTCAACCCTCGGTGGACTTCAAAGCGGGTCATGAGAAAACCTCAAAAATGCCGAGCATTTCCAGTGTGGTGTGCCAGGGACCTCCAAGGTTTGGGGTGAGGGCAGAAGGGCAGAAGCCTCGGTCTCCCTGCCCCTCCTCGTCCCAGCCGAGCGGGGAAGTTGCATGACCCTGATCTGTGGGAGCCCCACACACGCAGGACTCTCTACACGCGAACTTTGTGGAATCCTTGGCTCCACGAGGCTGAGGGTGGGGTGTGTGGGAGGGGTGCGGGTGGTCATGGTTAATTCAAGGCAGCATGCATTCGGGATGTTTCCATAAAACATGACCTCATCTCTTCCAGCCCGCTGGTCATCATTAGACTGGTGGTCACTTCTGACTTTGCGGTTACAAAAAGAATTCCTGTCGTTACCAAAGTGGAAATTCATAGATTGCACATAGATTGTTCTTGCCTCCCCCTGACAGGCAAGAGGTCGGGAACTATTACTAATGCTGTCTCCACAACATCAGAACAACTCGTTAATTCAAGGAAAAACAAAGCAAAGCAAAACAAAAGGCAACATGTCGGATCCGTTGTTGGGCAGATCAAATAGCCGGGGGACTTTCTGCCTTTCTCTCTCCTCAAAACTCCGTCTCTTTTCATTCTAAACAGACAGTCACATGACGACCGTTAGGAAGACACGTTTATTGATTTAGTGACCCTTTGCTAAGTACCTGTGTCTTGGGTGCACACGTCTCACGGTGTGGAGACACACGACAAGCAAATCCATAAACCAGGCGACTCGAAGTGTGCAAAGCGTCGTGAGAAAAATGAAGTGACGTGATTCCACAATAAAGAGTGACTGAGGCAACTGCTTACAGAGGTGGAGTCCAGGAAGATAAAAGCATGTATGAAAAGATATGAGCGAGCCCTGGCCGGTTTGGTTCAGCGGTTAGAGCGTCGACCTACGGTCCTGAGAGACCCGGGTTCAGTTCCCGCTAAGGGCATGTACCTCGGTTGCAGTTTGTCCCCGAACCTGGTCGGTTGTGCGGGTGGCAGCCACTCGATGTGTCCCTTTCACATCGATGCTTCTCTCTCTCTCTGTTCCTCTCTCTCCCTCCCACTCTACCTGAACAAAAAATGGAAAAATGTCGGGTGAGGATAAAAAAAAAAAGATATGAGCGAGTTGAACCAAAATAGCTGGTCACTCTTGTAATGATCAGGTGCTCTTGGAGGGTCCCCGCAGAGGGGGACGGTGGTCCCAGAGGGCAGCCCTGAGGTAGCAGACCGCAGTTACCACTGTCCCAGAACCCACCGCCTCTCCTGCGTTCACAGGGGGAAGTGCAGCCAAGCAGACCACCTGGGAAGGAGGGCACCGCGTCCCCGCCGTGGCGTACTGGCCGGGCAGGATCCCCTCCAATGTCACCAGCACTGCCCTGTTAAGGTATGAGACCCAAACTCCCTTGACACGTTGGGGTTACGGCATGGGTGCTGGGTGGTTAGAGACCTGGGGTGGGGGGGGGAGACCTCCTCCGCCTCCTGCCTTTCCCGTGTTCTCAGGTCCAAAGCTCTGACCGGGGCACAGGGACCTGCCGCTCTGCGATTCCATGTGCCGGCCACAGCTAGTCCGTGTCTGGGTGGAGACGGGCGGGTGGGTCTGTGCAGAGACGGCTGGGCCGAGAGGCCTGCCCCGCATCTGCCGCGTGCCCTGGCCCACGCTGCCCGGAGGAACCATCGTTTGAGCCGCAGTGATTCCATCCTTGGAGGTAGAGCAGGTGTCCCGGGGTGGCTGTGTGAAGCCAGCAGTCACATGGCCCCAAGAAAGGAATGTCGATGTCCACTTGTCCCGGAGGGGACGGAGGAGGGAGGTGGCACCAGGGCCAGGCAGTCTGAGGGGCACCATTCTGAGAGCAGTGTCATGCCCTCTGGAACCCCGATGGGGGCTTCTCGCTCCCACAGACGTGGTCTGACCTGTGTTCGCCGACGGGGGCCCCTCTGTCGAAGCCAGAGTCTGCTCGTGTGCTCCGAGGTTCTGGTCCGTTTGAACACTGACTTACTATTTCCGCCGTTTCTGCATCATTGGCCGAACGGGCACTGGCTAGAGAACACAGCTGAGGAAGGAAGGCAAGCTTCACGGGGGCCCTGCAGCACCCCCAGACTTGGGGGGGTCGGAGGAGAAGCCCGGGGGAAAGGAAGGGTAAACAGCTCTGCGGGCCAAAGTAGGGAGGGGGAAGGCGTCGCCCCAGCAGCCCGCGGGCCCCCGGACTCCAGGTCAGCCCTGTACAGTCAGGAGCGGGCTGGAGTCTTGTGATGTCAGGCTGACCGGGAAGAGGGCCAGGTCGGCTGCTTTTTATGGGACCGGCTTGGTGCCTGCAGCCAGGCCAAGTGTTCCCAGGCTGGGCTGCACACGCACAGATAACCCGGCCGTCTCTCGGGCCGTGCTTCTCACGGGAGAAGTGTTGACACCTTCACTCAGCCACGGCAAGTGATGAAATCGCATCATCCTGTCGCTCATCCAGGGCAGGGGCGGGGGACCTTTTTTCTGCCAGGGCCATGGGGATATTTATAACATCATTCGAGGGCCAGACAAAATGATCGCCTTAAAAAAGAGCCTGCTCTGTTTGGTCAGGCTCACTTGGTGAGGCGTGTGATGTCAGCTGGAATTGATTTCATGGGCCTTAGACAGCCCGAGGACTGGACGTGCCCCACCCCTGATCAGGGCCTCGGAGGTGACAGCCGACTTAGGGGATAGTTCAGGGGCTGGAGGAAGTGAGTCAGGACAAGGTGACATTGGCTGGAGGGCACCTGGAATTTTTACCAGGATGGCCCATCTGCTCCGCCAGCCCCTCGAAGGACCGTTTCTGGTGTTAAACGAGTGTCGATCGTAGTGGGACAGCTGACTTCCACAGAAGCCGCTCTGGCCGTTTGCCCAGGTGCATCCACACACACTGGGTGGAGCCTGCGGGCGTCTCCCTGGTTCCCTCGGGGTCAGCTCGGAGGAGACGCTGGTGCTAACACTTCCTGCTCTTGGGGGCCCTGCACGCCCGCCCCGAGGGCTCACACCGTGCAGAACGTCACAGCTCAGGGCATACAGATCCTCACATGAGGCCACTTCTCTGTTCTGGTTCCCCGAGGAACCATGAACACCAGAGAGCAGATGAGTTGACAAGTGTTCACATGAATATAGAAAAGTACAAAGTGTGAGGGGGGCAGGGGTCCCCACTAATGCCATTGCTCCCTTTTAGAGATAACCAATCTTGCACTTGGGGTGCACCCCCCTGATGGAGTAATGGTCATGCCCTGACCGAGAAGCCCAGAGACACCGACTGGAGGAGGATTCGCTGGCTCAGCAAGTGTTTGTTGTTGTGTCCAGCTGGGGCTCAGGCCTTGCTCAGGGACAGACCATCCTGATGTCGAGGAGCCCACCTCCCTCCAGGAGGGCGGGGCTGGGGCTGCCCCAGGACGGGGTCTGCGGCGATTCCAGCCTGAAACCGGAAGGCAGGTGTCTCTCTCACCCTCACCCCGCTGACATTCAGGGCTGGGTCAATCGTGGGGCTGCCCCATGCGTTGTCGGATGTTTAGCAGCATCCCTGGCTGCCCCACCCCGATGCCAGTCACTCCCCCACCCCCAGTTGTGACGACCAAAATGTCTCCAGGCAGCTGCTGGTGTCCCCTGGGTACCAGAGCTTTGCGTATAAAAGCGGGAGCCTCCACTCTGTGCCCCAGCTGGGCGCCCCGGCCGCTCAGAGCACAGGACCTCTCCTTCAGAGATTCCCGGGCCAAGCACGAGGGGCCCCGCACGCGTGAAGGCCTCCAGGACTCCCCTGGGGAACCCTGTGGCCCTCTTCTGACCTCCGGCCTCCGAAAGGCCCAGGGAGATTCCCCGGTGCTATCTGTCTGGAGCCACAGAACCAAGTCCTGGCAGGAGGAGCTACAAGGAGAAGATGTTCATGTCACTGTCCTGTGGTTAGGTGTCACCCTAGGTAGGGAGAAGCCACATGTCCACACACACACACACACACACACACACACACACCCATCCTTCCCTGGCAGTGAGCAGCAGGGGGCTCAGAGGAGGTGGCCTCACCCCACCTGGCCACGCTGGGCTCTGTAATGAAAACGCACACACCTTTGCCGTTGGGCCCTGCTGGTGCTGGGGGAGGGGGGCTGCAGCCCCTCAAACCTCTGCAGGGGGCTCTAGTTTTCCTAGGGGCAAGGAGAGGGAATCACAGTGCAGAAAGAAACTTACAACCCAACACTAAAAACACTGCTCCCGCGTCCTCGGGACACTCCCCACTCGGCCATGGTCCGGAGGAAGCTCTGCCCCCCATGTCCAGTCCCGTGCTCCCCTCATCCTTCCCTGAGCAGCCTCCTCACCCTTCTCACGTCCCGTCTTCAGGTCGCATCCGCTGTTTCCCCAGATCCACTGTCCCCAGCTCCTAGGAAACCCTGGCCCTTCCCACCCGCCGCCTTTGCCCCCGGATGCACTCCACCCGGCCCGGCCCAGCCCCCCAGTTCCCGGCAGCTGGGGTCCTGAGGCCCAGGCTGCTCTTGCTCGCAGCCCTTCAGCCCCCGCCTGCAGCGGCAGGGCCCCCGCGCCCTCTCCATCACCCGGTCCCACACCCAGATTCCTCTGCAGCTCCTTGGAAGGACACTAATGCGCACACTTCCTCTGGACCGTCTGCGGTGCCCTGGGCTGGCCGAAGCCAGTGAGAGAAAAGGGGAATATTTTCACACGGGCAGAAGAACCTGCAAAGGTGTCCCCTGCCCGCTCTGATGGCAGCCTGTGGTCGTGTGGGGTGACCTCGGCTTCGCCTCCTGCGCGTGCACAGGCTCCTGGAGGCCCGCCCGTCACCAGGAGACCATGGAAGTGGGGTTTTCTCCCTTCGAAAGTCTGGGCTGCCTTCTCCGCCAGGCCCAGGAGGCACAGTGCCAGGGGCACTTGGAATTTCTATTTTCTTTTGAAACCAGAAGAAACAAAAAGAGCTGTTAGGTTGAAGAAAATGGTTTAATGTACACGGTTTGTATACTGATCTCCGTGTCCACGCAGTGGCAATGTCCACGCAGTGGTGAACTGAAGTGCTGATGTTTTGTATGGAGGAAAGGACCCAGGTCCCACCGAAGTCGGGACGTGCCCCTGCCCAAAGCCCCACCCCAAGTGCCACACTCAACTGCAGAAACCTGAAAATGTCAGGGTTTTCCCCTCTTCCTTCAAGGTCTTAGGACTCCATGACCAATGCGTTGGTGAGGTCTGAAGTGCGGAGCGGCGGAGGTCCCTCCGGCGGCCTCTGCAGAGCCGACAGCTTCTCCGCGTTCACTCTGGCTGGGGAGGTGCTGGCCTTTTTCCCCGGGGGCATCTTGCTCTTCCAGGGGGAGCCTCGGGCTGGGCTTCCTCCACAAACCAGCAAGGACTTCTGACAGACAGCCCGAGCTTGCCAAGCGGCGCTGGGATTGGCGAGTCACCGGAGACACCGACGCGTTTCTTGTGGGCCAGAGGTTTTCTTTGTGCTGTGGGTGGGCTGGGATCCTCGGCGGTTCCCGGTCGAGTCAGACACGGGATTCCGAGAACATCAGACTCGGTGCTGTGTAATTAGGATGCTGTGCCTCATGACACAGGGGGAGGGATAAGATGGGAAAAGGAAGTGGACTACGCATTCCAAAAGCTAACACAGATCCTGTTTCTCTTGCTCCCTGATTTGACCTGCCTGTGACGCAGACTTCTCTTAGGGGCGCAAATGAGAGAAAGCTGCGACGGAGCCCCCGCCACCTGCGGCCTCAGGGCTGCCCGTTTGTGGGGGACCTTGGACTCCCGACAGGTTTCTGGACTGTGCCGTCTCCCCCTCCTGACGCTGCTTCGCGCGAGATGCCAGCGCCTGGGGCATGTATCTCAGGAGATAAGCCACGAGCTCTCCGTGACTGTGACAGAAGGCAAACCAGAGGCACTTGTACCAGAGTCAGAGGAGAGACTCCACCTGGGGCTGTGGGGGGCCGGCGGGGGGGGGGGGGACGAGCTTGGGGCAGGTCTTCCTGCAGCCCCTTTTGGAGGGAAGAGCTCCCCCTGCCAGACGCCCGCCCGCCCGTGGGCAAAGTGGCAGGGGTGGCCCTTCAGGCCTCCCCATGAATGAGTCTGCAGTTTGCTGCCGAGCCTGGCCTCAGGCCAGCCAGAGCCCTTTCCTGGGGAGGTCCAGCCTCACGGGACCCTGCCCTTTGGGCTCCAGCGAGCTCCAAGGGCCTGGCCCTCAGATCAGCAGCTCTGTGGCAAGGGCCGCCCATCTGTTCGCGCAAAAAATTATTCCGACGTGGACGGAGATGTGCCCCATCCCAGAGTCACACGAGTTAAAAAAAATCACGTTCACAAAATCCACCATGTCAACGATGGCTGCCTGTGGGTGGTGGACTGTTTGTGCGTCGTTTTCTTCTGTCGGTGTCTGGATGTGCTCTGCTGTCATAAACACTTGCTATCCTGTCCTGGGGGAAGGAGCTATGTGGACGGAGGCGGGCTGTCACACGTCACGGGATTCGGAGTGAACACTAGATTTGCGGTACAGAGACCTGGGAAGGGAAAACGAAGTGCACATTCCCTTGCAGACACCTGTCCCGTGCTGTTCTCTCTCGGCTGTGGCCGTGGCCTGGCTGGTGATGGACGGAACCGCGTAGATAGGTCCCCAGCAGTGCCCCTGTGAATGCTTGTAGCACAAACACCCAGTGAGCGCTTCCCGAGGGCCAGCTCTTCCCCGTGCCTTTACGAGTGCTGTCATCATGCCCATTTTAGAGAACGGAAAACTGAAGTCCTGGGGAGCTAGACAGGTGGTGGTGCTGGGATTCGCGCCTGGGTGACACCTGGCCGCAGATCCTGGGGGCTGAACCAGGAGGCCATCTGCCTCTTGCAGGAGCAGAACCTGACGGAAGGACAGGCAGGTGGAGGGGGCGGGCCTCCCAGGAGGCTGTCAGTGCTGGGCTTGGGCTGGTCCAGTGGGTCTTGACCACAGCATGGCCAGGAGAGAGAGGGACCAGCTGGGCCCAAGGTCGTTGTCTTCTTCCTGCAGCGTGCTGGACATCTTCCCGACCGTGGTTGCCCTGGCCGGGGCCAGCCTGCCCCGAGGCCGCCACTTCGACGGTCTGGATGCCTCGGACGTGCTGTTCGGCGGGTCGCAGACTGGGCACAGGGTAAGTGGAGGAGATCTGTACCCACCAGGCCCTTCAGGGGGTTGGTCTGCTGCCTCTCACCTTCGTGCAGACAGAGCCATCCGCAGAGGTGCCCGCAGGTGGCTGCTCCAGACTCAGGTTAAGAAATCCTGGGTTAGCCCGGCCGGTGTGGCTCAGTGGCTGAGCATCGGCCCAGCACCAAGAGGTCGCCGGTTCGATTCCCGGTCGGGGCACATGCCCAGGGTGTGGGCCGGATCCCCAGTGGGGGGCATGCCGGAGGCGGCCAGTCGATGTTCTCTCTCATCAATGTTTCTCTCTCCCTCTCCCTTCCTCTCTCTAAAATAAATAAAGAAAAAAATTTTAAAAAAAGAAAGCCTGAGGGTGAGTCCCGAGAGAACCTCTTCCACTCCTGCCCCTCTTCCTCCGTCGTCAGCCCAGCGTGTCACCCCAGAGGCAGGTCTCCCCGTTTGGCTGGGGGTGGGTGCACCGGGTGCTTATTCCCCCCGAGAGAACTTGGGGTGTCAGGGACAGTCCCTGGGCTCCTGGAGGGCCCAGCATGAGGCCCTGCAGCCCCCACACTAGCTCTGGGGCCCCGGGGTCCTCTCTCGGGTCCCTGAAGCGGAGCGGGAAGTGCCGGGCCTGACGGAACCTGTCACTTCCCTGTGCTTTCCTTTCGCCAGCGGGGAAGAGGAAGCGGGAGGCGGGAGAGGATGGAGGAACCGGCCCCGTGTACGGCTCTGTGAGCGCGGGCTTCTCAGGGACCACACGTCAAGGGTTTATTTATAGTTATGTCTTTACTGAGGGTCACACGGAAGTGACTCAGACGCTGCTCAGATGGACCGTGGCAGCCACTGACACAGCCCCTCGCACTCGGCGGCCTGGCGAGCCGCACACTGGGCCTGTGGGCGTCACTGTGCTTCTGTGAGCGCACGCTCGTGTCCAGGTGTCAGATGAGGCCTGGCGTGTCCCCCCGAGGACCGCTTCGCTCCGGGGTATCGGACCCTCTGAGCCGCACGCCCCCCGGCCGAGCCCCACTCCTGAGCAGCCGTGAAGCAGGAAGGTGGCTTCCTCCTCTAGGCTGCAGGTGTGCAGAAGGTGGCCCCGCGGCGTGTCCAGGCCATCGGCGAGGGGCTCCAGAGGGGGTGTCACCGTGGCCACTGGCAGGATCACTGGAGTCACCAGGAAGTGCTTCAGGGACTGTGGCCTCCTAGATGTCGTCCGGTCGCCTGTGGAGGCAGCTCCTCACACTGACTTCCGTTCTCAGGGCAGGACACGCGCTCGCGCCTGCAGACTCCCGGGCCATCCGCAGGGCTCAGCGGCCGGTGGCCCGTGCCCAGCCGAGGACCAGACACACCGTTTGGGCTTCTCTTGGGAACGTACCTGTGGTAGCACAGCTGCCGTCGGGCTGATCTCCCAACCACACCCGCGGCCCGGAAGGAACCCCCAGGATGTTGTCTTCCCGCAAAAGCGCATGGGAGCAGCACCTGGGGGCCATGCCCCTCCGAACCCTGGGGCACAGAGCTAGTCACTGGCCTTGGTCTGAATTTGGCCTTGGACTTCTCTGGTCAAGCTACTAAAGAGACCACAATAAATCATCTCTAGTTTGCTGAAGGAAGGCCAGGAGATAAAACTGTGAGTGATTATATAGATATACGTGTGTGTACACACATGTACATACGTGACTTTTGGCATAAGCACCGTTTGATTGTGCTCACCCTTAGATGTGTCCTGGGCTTACAAGGGTTCTGACCCTGATTGGTTGAGAAGAAAACTGCTCTGGGTCCCGGAAGCTCAAAGTAACTGCTCATCTCAGTACAATATGCAAATAGATCTCAGCATTGGGTCTTCCCCATTTTGCACATTAAGTCATCCGGAGCCACTTAACTTTTCGGTACCCTCTCCAAGGCCTTTGTTGAGAGGTTTAAAGGCAGATTAATGGGCTATTGGTTTTCCCGCTGAATGGTCCACTCACTAGCCACTCCATCGGCAGCTGGGGACAGCGTGTGATGTGATGTTCAAAGCCCAAAGCAGCTGACACCGTGCTGCGTGTTCCTGCATTTGCTGAGCCTTCTGCTTCCGATCTTGACAGGCCCAGGTCTGGCAAAGAGGGCACCCCAAGGCGGGGAGGGTGCAGAGCCTGGCACCCAGCTCTTATCTGTACTCACCTGTCTCCCAGATGAAGTGGGAGCCTGAGGTCCCCACTGCTCGAGCCATATCTCAGCCCCAGGTTGCCCTGCCCAGGTCCGAACATTGTCAACAGAGGGAGGGCTCGCTGCTGCCCAGCCGGCGGGAGCTGCTGTGGGCTGTGAAATGCTTGGAACATCCCTGGAGGCCAGACACGGAAGGAAAGGGAGCTGGATGTCATCTCTGGAACGCGATCCCTTCTCCCCGGGAGGCCCCAGTGGTGGAAGACACCATCCCGAGGGGCTGGGGGAGGGCTGACCTTTTGGAGAAGGCGAGCTGTGCACCCCCACCCCGTGGGGGGGATGGACGGGCCACCTCCTGGGGATGTGACCTGGGCACTGGCCTTCAGGACCAAAGGCGAGGTGGCGCTTCCGTGCGTAAACACAGCGGTAACACGAGGCACACGGGCAGGAACGGCCACCACGCCCTGGCCGGTTTGGCTCAGCAGTTGGAGCGTCGGCCCGCGGACCAGAGAGTCCTGGGTTCGGTTCCTGCTGAGGGCACGTACCTCGGTTGAGGTTCGTCCCCAGCCCCGGTTGGGGTCGTGCGGGTGGCAACCACTCGATGTGTCTCTCACATCGATGTTTCTCTCTCTCCCTCCCGCTCTCCCTTCGCTCTATCTGAAGATGAATGCAAAAATGTCCTCAAGTGAGGACAAAAAAAATACAATAACAAAAGAAAGGCCACCAAGAAGCACAAGGCGTTTCCGGGAGGTCGTTTCATCTTTGGAATTTGGACTGGGCGACCTCGGAGAGGAAACCTCTCCAGCTGTGACTCAGGGGTGGGTTTGCCAGCCTCCTTCCTATGTCCTACAAACAAGAACGCCAGCGTCAGCCCGCCGAAAGGGGCACAGAAAGGCATGCACACTCGTCCTCGGGAACCCGTCCGGATTCTGAGCGCGAGCCTTCCCCAAACGGACTGCGGGCGTTGCCGCTGGTAACGTCGGGTAAACATTCCGGCCGCACTGGGCCATTTCTGTTGCTGAGCCGCGGAGGCGATGATCCGAACCAGCGGACCTCGACCCCCATCTTCTGGACGCGGGGTGCATCCGAGATCAGTTGACAAGAGGTTTTCCAAGTCCCACTTCCTGCGTTCTCCAGAAGGAAACCAAACAGCCTCCTGCGGTGAGAGGCTTGGCTTCCTGCAGGCTTGGAAGAAGGGAGGGTTTTGAGTTACGACTTCTTTTCCTGTTTGGAAGGAGCCTGCTGTCATCACGCTGGCTGGGGAACTCGAGGGCTGTCACGAGAGCGCGGAAGGAGCAGGTGTGGGAGGGCCCCACCCTCGCACCCTCTCCGAGCCGGGAACTTGAGGGGACAGCTGTTTACTGCTCCAACAGATGTTTCTCATTTTTTTTTTTTAGCCCCGTGGAAACTTTGAATCATATAAGCGCCTCTCCAGTGATATAGGTCGGTCATGATTCATACAGGGTGGCCTCCCACTTCCAACCCAAACCCACCAACTGACCGAGGACACCGGTCACTGATTTCCTGCCGACCTCTGCCCTCGGGATCCCTGAATTCCGTGTTTCCGTTCTGTAGGGATCCTGTCATCTGGGACCTGCCGAGGAAAGTCCCCTCGGCCCAGTGGGGTAGAACTGAGTCAAAGGTGGAGACCTCTGTTTCAGGTGTTGCCCATTTCTGGCCAGATCACACCGAGAGGCCCTCTCCAGGTGCCTCCTTAGGGCCTTGCTCACGTGAGAGCCAGAAAGTCGACCGGCTGCTGAAGCAGCCAGTTCGCAAAGAGAGCTGAGGATCACGTTCCAGAGTCCCCGGGAGTCTCGGGAACACGCAGGTCCCCGGGCCCCATCTCGAACCTGGAGGGTGGAGCCGGGGCGGGGCCGCCTCCTGGGCATGTGGCCGGCGCCCTCACCGGAGCCCCGCACTGAGAAGGACCCGGTCTGGGTCCTCCTGCTGGGTCCTCTTGAAGGCTCAGTGTTGGCACAGGGTTTCTTTCATTCTCGTGTTGTGATGGACCCTGGAGCTTGTACAGCTGGTACTGTCAGCACAGCTGTACCCGTTCCGGTCAGGGCACAGAGCTCCCGGGAGCGGGCCGGTGTGGATGTAGGCCCGAGTGTCGGTGTCTGGGATGGGGTGGGCGAGGACATGGGGTGGTGGGAAGGAGGGACCACGGCAAAGGAAGGAGTGCTTCCCGGGGTAACCCTGCCACCCTTCCTCAGGCGCTGTTTCACCCCAACAGTGGGGCAGCCGGGGTGTACGGAGCCCTCCAGACCGTCCGCCTGCAGCGCTACAAGGCCTTCTACGTTACTGGTGAGTTCGTGAGGTGCTGGCCCCTGCCCCTACTCCATCTGGACTCTCACTCGGGCCTCCAGGAATGAGTGTGGGTGGCCCTCCTTTGGGGAGCCCTCAGCACCTCTGACAGTGCACCCCCCCCCCCCTCAAAGCCTGGCCCAGCAGAAGGTCCCAGGCCCCACGGGCCCGGCACAGGCCCTCTACACCCATAATATGCGGCAAACCAGGTCTTCCTACTGTTACATTTCCAGCAAGCTCAGAGCTAGTCAAGCACATTGGTATCATTCCTTTTCACTTGAAGAACATTTTATTTGTTAATGAAATGCAACCGAGTGAGTGCATTTGGAGATCTGATTGGCTTTATTAAGTGCTTCACGAACTGGCAGCTGGCCATCTAGCAGCTAGAAGGGGTGCACTGGGTGGGTGTACAGAATAGACGGTTTTTATAGGCAGAAGGGCTTGGCAGGGGATTTATTAGAAAAAACAGAAAGGATTCCTTTTAGGGTAGTTATCTTCTTTTAGGGGACAGGAATGGCAGGGGTTTTATCCTGCAGATCACCTCACTAGTGTTGATCAGGAAGTTCCCGGCTGATTGGTTTAAAATTCCACTCCCGGGAGATGCTGAAACTGCAGTCAGGTTAGTGAGTTTTGGGTTAGCACAAGTGACTCCATTTTGGCCTATTGTTTTCTTTCTTTCTTTTAACATATTTCACTGTTATGCTTTCAATGCCAGTTAGGACCGACATTAAGTGGAAGCTTAGAAGTATTTGAAAGTGTAATTTACTCAACAATAGACGGTTTCAGAAAATAGAATTCAGAGCTCTATTTAGGAAACCGACAGAAGTCTCTGCTTCTGGGTTCATTCAGTGAGTGTCTTAAATGTGTGTGTTAGGGATGTGATACAGGCCCTGGCCTGTTTGGCTCAGTGGTTAGAGTGTCGGCCCAGACCAAAGGAGTCGTGGGTTCGACTCCAGTCAAGGGCATGTACCTCAGCTGTGGTTCAGTCCCTGGCCCTGATTGGGGTCCAGTGGAGGCAACCAATCGATGTGTCTCCCTCACATCGATTCTCTCTCTCTCTCTCTCTCTCTCTCTCTTCCCCTCCTACTCTATCTGAAAATACATGGAAAAATATCCTCTGTTGAGGATTAAAAAGAAACTGCCAGTTACATTCAGGCTTCCTGTGTCCTGGGTCCCTCCCCTTGCCAGTCTTCTCCGTATTGCAATCAGCATGTCAGACCTCAAACCCAACGCCACCTTCATCATAAAACCCCCTCCCATCTTCCCAGGCCTATAGGATCTGAAGAAATCGCATATTTATCACATTCTGCTGTACGTCGAACAAACTTAAAAAGAGACTGGAGGCTTTGTCAGAAATACATGATAAAGATTTATTTAAGGGTCTTAGAGTTTGCGTGCTGGGAATACAGCTCGGCAGAGACCCTGAAGTGTTCCAAAGAAAAAAGAAACGCTAAGCATCCTTGTAGCAAACAGTCCGTTCTTGAGAATTATGAGTCCTGCATTCCTAGGATTCGCCCGGGACAGTCAGTCAGGTGTCTGGTGGATGCAGCCGTGCGTCCTTCGGGGTGATCAGGGGGTCATCTGCAGCTCGGGTACGTATGTCCAGGAGCGCCGCCAGGCGTTGCTGCAGGCCTGGAAAGTTCAAAAAGTGTACATTCCTGGCTCTTACACGAACAGGATCCTTTCTTCAGGCCTCCGCCTTCGGAATGTTAATTTCAGCGGCTTCGTCCAAGTGACTCCATTTTATACACTCCCTATTTTCACTCCTTCTCACATCTGTGCCAGCCCCTGAGGTGCTTGTTTTCTTTCCCGTGCCGGCTTTAAGCTGTCTAAGCTCAGCTCTCTAAGCTCTTGCATCTCTGTTTCTTTCTTTCTTTTTTTTTTTATCCTCACCCGAGGACATTTTTCCATTTTTTGTACAGATAGAGCGGGAGGGAGAGAGAGGAAGAGAGAGAGAGAAACATCGATGTGAAAGGGACACATCGAGTGGTCGCCACCCACACGACCAACCAGGGTTGGGGACAAACTGCAACCGAGGTACATGCCCTTAGTGGGAACTGAACCCAGGTCTCTCCGGACCGCAGGCCGACGCTCTAACTGCTGAGCCCAACTGGCCAGGGCGTCATCTCTGATTCTTGAAGTGCACGGCACCATATCTTATACCTAACTTCTAACATTTTTTTTTTTAAATGAATGAGAAACAAACAAACCGCGCCAAAATCTGGGACCTGATGGGGACTCCAGTTTGATTCAGTTATTTAATGTCAGAACTTTCCCAAGGATTATATAATCCAGAACAGAAATGATTTTCTCTGAGTGTAAATAAGTAACCCTGAAGAGAATGTGGCATAAAAACAAATCCACTCCTATGAGTTCATCCCTTGGAGGATATTAAAAATGCCACAGCCGTCTTTGATCCTCCAAACCCTCAAACGCAAACCGGTCAGATAATTGTTACACTCTCAGATGGAAATTTGCTAGATGACAGCCCTTACATTACATAGGTCTAAGAGGTATGGTTTGCCCAGGCTGAGTTCATTTCAGAAGTAACAGCCCTGCCAGGAAGCCCTCGGCATAGTCTTGGAATCATACATGTTACCATGAAGTAACAGGACTGTTCTAAGTGATCGCAATCAGATAGGAATGATCATACCCAGGGGACATCTGTTCTGAGGCGTCACCAGACTCCAGGGAGATTCAGGGAGGGGAGGACCGAAATCTCAGCAGGTGGGATGACACGGAATAGACTGATTCCTCCCCCTGCGCCCCCTGAAAGTCTGCATCCGTGACTTACAGCTGGTTTTGGAGAAGCTTGATGGACTGGCATCCACTGCGTTAGATTAGAGAAAGATGTGTGTCCTGGGATGAGGACACGATTTGACGGGCATCAACTAGGCGTGGCCTTGGAAAGGCAGCCGGTCCATTTTGACGTGTGGCCTAGAACTGAAGTGTCTTACTGTTTTTCCATTTTAAAAAAGGTAATCGAGGCAAACTTTACACACAGTAAAAGGCACAGATATAAATGGTACAATCTGATGAGTTTTTAATCAATGTGTATACTTGTATAAGTACCCTCTTAATGCTGTGAATTACACCAATTTTTAAGTGTTACGTCAACTTGGAATTCCTGCACCAAGCCCACTTAGCTGGATTTGATTTGCTAAGATTTTGTTTATGATTTTCCTTTCTTAGAAAGTCTGTGTCAGAGTTTGGTATCAAGGTTTTGTCGACCCCATAAAATAAGTCGGGAAGTGTTTCCTTCTCCTCTGTGTTCCAGAAGGCTCTGTGTAAGACTGGTATTATTTCTTTTATGTGTGACTATATATAACTGGGAAACTATTTGGACCCGGAGGTTTCTTGATAGAAGAATTCTTGGTTGTAGATTTCATTTCTTTAATAGATACAAGGCTATTCATATTTTATATTTCTTCTTGTATCAGCTTTGGTAAGTTATGTCTTTCAAATAATTTGTTCATTTCTTCTGCGTTGTCCAATTTATTGGCATAAAACTCCTAATATTTCCTTATTATCCTTTTGTTAACCATTTCTGCATCTGTTGAGATGCTCATTTTTGGGTCCATTATTCTATTAACATACATTGTTTTCCATTGTATGTTGAACAAATCTTGCATCCCTGGGATAAATCTCACTTGGTCACGGTGTATAACTTTTTAAATATTCTGCTGGATTCTGTTAGCATGTGTTGAGGTCTTTTTAGCACGTATATCCATAAGGGATACTGGTCTGCAGTTTTATGGATTTTGTTATGGCAGCCTGTGCTGACTAATACAGCATTTATGGTATCTTCACATCTTCTCATGGCTGGATAACATTTATTTTAGTGCTAAGTAACATTCTGTTGTGTGGACGTACCACAATTTATTTACCCATTCACCTGCTGAAGGACATCGCAGTTGCTTTCAAGTTTTTGCCATTGTGAATTGTTTTGACAATTTTGCTATAAATATACATGTGCAGGTCTTTGTGTGGACATACATTTTTTTTTTTTATCCTCACCCGAGGACATTTTTCCATTTTTTTTGTTCAGATAGAGCGGGAGGGAGAGAGAGGAAGAGAGAGAGAGAAACATCGATGTGAAGGGACACATCGAGTGGCTGCCACCTGCACGACCAACCAGGGCCGGGGACAAACTGCAAACGAGGTACGTGCCCTTAGCGGGAACCGAACCCGCGTCTCTCTGGACCACAGGCCGATGCTTGAACCACTGAGCCAAACCGGCCAGGGCCATACATTTTTTTTTTTAAATCCTCACCCGAAGATATTTTTCTATTTATCTTCAGATAGAGTGGGAGGGAGAGAAACATCTACGTGAGAGAGACACATTGACTGGTTGCCTCCCACACGACCCTGACCGGGGCCAGCACGAACCGCAACCGAGGTACGTGCCCTTGGCCGGAATCGGACCCACGACTCATTGGTCTGCAGGCCAACGCTCTAACCGCTGAGCCAAACCGGCCAGGGCTGCACATACATTTTTAACTCCATTGAGTAAATACCAAGGAAGGTGATTGCTAGATCATCTGTTAAGAATCTCTTTTGTTCTGTTAAGAAGCTACCAAACCATCTTCCAACATGAATGTATTATTTTGGATGCCCACTAGCGGTGAGTGAAAGTTCTGTCCCTCCGCACATGCGCACTTGGTGTTACTAGTGTTTTCAAGTTCGGCCATTCCCACAGGTGTGGAGTGGTATCTCACCGTTGTTTGCAGTTACCTGATCATATGATGCTGAACAACCTTTCATAGGCTTATTAACTAACTGTTCAGGTCTTTGGCCCACTTTTTAATTGGCTTGTTAATGCTCTTATTGTTGGCTTTTACAAATTCTTTGTGTAAGTCTTTTATCAGATATATAAACAAACAAACAAATAAATATATATGTGTGTGTATATATATATATATCAGAAATATATATATATATTTGCAAATACTTTCTTCCCGTCTGTGACTTGTCTCATTCTCTTGACATTGGCTTTCACAGGCATTTGTTCTGCTCGGTGCTCTCTGAGCTTCCTTGGTCTGAGGTTTGGTATCTGACCTTAATTTGGGGGAAATCTTAGTCATGATCTCTTCATATATTTGTTTGCTCCTTTGTCTCTTCTCCTTCTGGTGTTTCCATTATGCATTTGTTGTAAGTTCCGTAGTTGTCCCACAGGTCTTGGTATTCTGTCCTGGGTTTTGTTTTGTTGTTGTTGTTTTGTCTTTGCTTTTCAATTCTGGAAGCTTCTTTTGAGATATCCTCAAACCCAGAGATTCTTTCCTTAGCCATGTCCCGTCTAGTGGACCATCACAGGCGTCCTCCTATGTCTGCCCTTCTTAGACTCCCCGTCTGAGAAAGGACGGGCCCCCATGGGGGTTTGCACTCTCAGACCTGTGCAGGCTGAGGCTCCGGCAACCCATCAGTTACCTGAGGTTCCCCTGCCCTGCGCTGCTTCCCGGGGCGCTGCTCTGACATGGTGTTGTTCTCTTTATTCGCCTGTGTCTTCAATTTGGGGGGCGCTGATTGGCCCTGTGACCTCACTTCTCTGCAGATCTAAGAAGCGTCGCTGCTCCTTCCGTTTGCTCTGCTTTCTCCCTGTTAGGATGGAGTGACGGCTGCTAAGCTCCCTCCACGCTGGGCTAGACACGGGAAGTTGTCCAAAAACTGGACATTGTGGATCATGCATCGTAGAGAGTCAGACTTCTGTTACTCAAGGAGTGTTGATTTTTTCTGTTTTGTTCTCATGGGCAGTTAATTACTATCTAATCCTCTTAAACATGTGCAGGCTTGGTTTTTCCCCTTGTTGGAACCGGCTCTTTGAGATTTGGTCCTTGATCTTGGCCACGAGCCTCGTCCTGGGACTTGGTCCTTAATCCTAGCACTGACCTTTGGGGACATGGGTGGAAAATGGGGAGGATTTACGAGGCCTTTGTGACTTCACAGGACTCACACTCGGAACTGTGCCCTAGCACAGAAGAGTCTGCTGAGCACTTCAGACTTGCAGCTGCCGCCGGAACTGGGGTCCCCCGTGCACAGTTTGGGGCTCAGCCAAGGATGTGGAGGGACTTTATTTGCAGACTTTGAGGCGGCTTCCCCTCGTGGGTTCTCTCCTACCCAGGATTTCGCTCACTCATTGTCATCTGTCGTGTTAGCCCCGAACTCTGTCCCCTGACACCTCGAGCCAAAGAGACCACAACCTTCTGGGGTCAAGCTGCTCTGTGCTACATAGACGGGGTGGGGGTGCGGTCTTCCCAGGGGAAAACACTTTTATTTTTTTAAATTAAAAAAAAAATTTTTTTTTTTATCCTCACTCGAGGACATTTTTCGATATTTTGTTCAGATAGAGTGGGAGGGAGGGAGGGAGAGAGAGAGAGAAACATCGACATGAAAGGGACACATCGGGTGGCTGCCACCCACACAATCCAACCAGGGCTGGGGACAAACTGCAACCGAGGTACGCGCCCTTATTGGGAACCGAACCTGGGTCTCTCTGGACTGCAGGCCAATGCTCTAACCGCTGAGCCAAACCGGCCAGGGCGAGGGGGAAGAACACTTTTAAACACACACCCAACCCCACATGGCTTCCTTCTTTCAAGGATCGCATCCCTTTTGATTTCTGCCTGCATCGGTTACGTTCGGTGTCTTCGGTTTTTTCTGATGTGTTGCCTAGAAGGCACGGTTGTTGTCTATAGGGTTAGTTATATGCAGACAACCCTGTATTCCCTCCTTTGGAAGCCTTTAATTTTTGTAACAGGAGCCCATCCCAACCTTCACTTGATTGACTGCCGAACCTCACGTGGCCGCTCCTTAGTGTCAGTGAAGAGCTAACCTTGACCCCAAACTCAAGGCACAGAACAGTCGGGATCCCCGTCACAGGAGGACCACCATCAAGGACAGCTCCCTCCAGGCCATGCGATCTCCTCCCTCTTGTCACTCACCTTCAGATCTCATCCCTGTCCGCAGTGGCCCAGAGGGCAAGCCGCAAGCTCGGTCGCGTGGCGTGGGCCCGCAGGCCTGCCTTCCCCGAACGGCTCTGGGTGCCACGCCGTCGTCGTGCGGATCCAGGGCGTGATAAGAAGCCATCCGCGGCCCACCCCAGCCACACAGCTGTGTCTCTGAGTGTCCGAGGAGCCGCTGGGAAAAGTTCTCCACACATCAGTGCCGGAGGGAGCTCTGTGTCCCCCGAGCGACTGGATCTCAGTTTCTGGTTTAGGGACGTGTGAGCGCTGAGAAGCCCGGAGTCGGGGGAGGTCGTTAGGACCTCCTGTAGGTCCCAGGACTAGCCTTGCCTTCATTCCTTCGTTGATTCATTCTTGTCAGAGACCTTAACTACTTTTCTGCATGGAAAAGGCAAGCAGAAAAGAAGTCACCTGGCCCTGGCCGGCTGGAGGGTAGGCCTGAGGACCAATGAGTCGCGGGTTCGAATCTGATCAAGGGCATGTACCTCGGCTGCAGTTTGTCCCCAGCCCTGGTTGGGTTGTGCAGGAGGCAACCAATTGATGTGGCTCTGTCACATCGATGCTTCTCTCTGTCTCTCTGTCTCTCTGTCTCTCCCTCCCACTCTATCTGATAATAAGTGGAAAAATATCCTCGGGTGAGGAATACAAAAAAAAAAAAAAGAAGTCACCTGAGTCATCAACAACCAGGGATGCTGCCATCATGCCAAACATTTAGCACCCCTCTTTGGGACGGCCTGGGCAGCCAGACTCGGATTCATACAAGACCCTCAACGTCAACCCCGGGTGAAATCAGTCACCCTGTCCGCTTGCCCGATGTACCAATTTGCATGTTATTTGCTCTCCCAGAGATCAGTTAAAAAATATCCACTCCCAAAGGGCGGAGATGAAAGATGTGAGTGAATGTTCTGCCGGCGGTGCGGCAAGTCCCGGGGAGGTTCCGGGTCATCTGGACGCAGGAGCACTGCGGACGAGCAGAGACCCCCAAGGTCATTTCTGTGACAGGAGAGCAGTCATTTGAACAGTCAAGTCCTGGTGTGTCCCCTCTCGCGGCGTGGGTCTCGAGCTGGGTCTGACGGGTATTTGTCACCCTCTCTCTAGGTGGAGCCGAAGCCTGTGATGGGAGTGTGGGGCCTGAGCGGTATCATGAGCCCCCCCTTATTTTTAACCTGGAAGATGATGTTGCAGAGGCTGCACCTCTGGGAACAGGCAGCGCCGAGTACCAGCGCGTGCTGCCCGAGGTCCGAGGGGCGCTTACAGACGTCCTCCGCGACATTGCTGAGGACAGCGTCTCCAGCGCCGACTACACTCAGGACCCCTTGGTGACCCCCTGCTGCGACCCCCACCACACTGCCTGCCGCTGCCACACCGCCTCCCAGACGGCCGCTCCCACCAGCAGAGCCACCAGGAAATGAGACGGGCAGGTTCGCGGTCGCCCGTTACTGTTGTGCGCGCTTTGGAAGGAAGGCTGTGTTGTCAGGAGGCCCCCCGTTGCGTCCCCATGGTCCCTCTGCACGCTGGCTCGAGAGGACAGCGGCGCAGAGCTGGGATGGGCTCAGCGGCGGACCAGGTCAGGCCCCAGCTTCTGAGCGTGGGCCACAGCTTCACCGACCTGCACACTGATTCGAGGATTCGACAAGGCAGGACAGGAAAGCGCCCGGCACGTGTCCTGACTCCTGAGGCAGGCACTCGGTGTGTTTTAGTGTTTTGTTTTGAATGCACCCAGTTTCCCTGGTCATCATAGTAGAGACCTGTGCCAACTGGCATCTAGTGAGGTTTCTCCATCTTTAATACACACGCAGATCACCTGGGAGCCCATGACGGCTCCGATTCTGACGGGGTGGGTCTGGGCTGGGGCCCGAGCTCCTCCGTGTCCGGGACGCCCCTGGGGGTGCTTGGGGGGCGTGGATGGTGACTAGGCACAGTCAGGCGTTTCCAGGTCTCCACGCAGAAGAGCCCACAGACACGTCCATGGCCCTACCCGCCACCCCCACCCACCCCTTTTGAGGTCAAATGGCCGTATTTTAACGATTTTAGTTTTTCCTGCTTCTTAAAACCACGAAGAAATAAATGTTTAAAGCCTCCAAAATGCATTGCTGTGATTTTATTCTTAGTGTCCTAACTGGGGCTCAAAGGTATAAGTGATTTATTCCAATCACTGCAAAAAACAAACAAACAAAAAAAAAACTCGGTCTGGCTAAAATAGTCTCTTCCATGTATGTAATATACAAGAAATACAATTCGAAGACATTTTCCTGTAAGTACATTTTTACACAGCATACGTTTTAAAGGATGCCCTTTTTAATATAAAAGTCCGGGTATAGACCAATATGGTGAGTTAGTATCGACAGTGGCTGTAATATATTGAAAGGGCGGGATGTGTATACCGTGTCTCCCGTGCCCACCGGCAGCCAGGGCTGAGGGCTTGGTGAGCGGTGGACCATGTCCTGCGGCTTAAGTGGGCGGCGCCTGGGATTCCTGCCCCCCATTCTGCGCCCACCATCGCACGCCATTCTTCCACCTTCCTCGTTCTCTCCAAAACCACCTGACAGGGGTGTCCTGATTTCTGAGGCACGCTTCTCATCATGACTGCTTCGCTTTGCCCTTCTGACTTCCACGGCACAAGATTATCTACCGAAATCAAAACAGAAGGGCCTTACTCTTTCCGGGAAGTCTAGTAAGCAGGCTGCATCATCAGCAGGTCTGTGCCCACCAGGGTCAGCAGGGAGGCTGGGCATACGTGGCCACAGAAGGTCCACCTGTCTTATTCAGGTGAGGATGAGTATGGCACAGTTTCAGAAGATACTATGTATGAAATATCTGTATGTGTGTATATATATGTTTAAAGGCTCCTCTTGTAAACACAGACTGCTAAACCACTATTAAAATGTCAGTAAATAGCCTCGGTCCCTGTCCCCCTATTCTTGTTCACGAGAGTAAGACTAGTGTCAGAAAACATGCAGATACGGAAAGGTTGGCTTATTACTGAAACGAGCTGCCCACCCTCCTGAATTCTGCAACTTTTAAGGTACCAGAGACCATCAGGTCTCTTTTCTGTCATTGCTCTAGGAGCAAAGTAAACCCCAAGGAGCTAAGAGGGACCAACCCAGGGAGGTGTCAGTATATTTTTTAAAGCCCCCTAGTGATGCGCCATGTTGTCAAGGCAAAGGCCCCCGGAGCCCACGGTTGTGTCTATGGAAGTGATGTTAACCACGCTGAGACTTCAGGGTTCCTGCACAGCCCTGGAAGCCTTTAAGAAATGTGGACAGAGATGTGGATTCTGGACAGATGTGTCTGTAGCAGGCACAGGAGAATCAAAGCAGAGAGAGGAAGCTGTCTAGCATCTCCAGTTGAGTCTCTAGCCAGTAAGGGCGTGGCCGAGACGGCCCACGTTGCGTGAGCATCCCAGGAGCACTCGCGTTTCTGATCCTTGTGCAGTGAGGCGGAGACACCTGCCTGCTCCTGTGTCCGTGTCTCATAGGAGCATGGCCCCTTCCCACCGTCACCTGCAGGCTCGAGGCCAGGCTGGGGTCTGATGGCCACCAGCTCTGCACACAAGCTGCCCAACTCTTGCTCAGGTCTGGCCACTGTTCTAGGAGACCTCATTCCGTGACCCTGCCGGCAGGAGGCCTTCCTCGTATAGAAATAAAAATCCCTGACACAGTGTAAACCGACTTGCACTCCTCTGGTCCTTGAGAGGGAGACAGGACACCGGGCCAGAGCCCAGCTTCCTGGCGTGTGCAGGCCTCGGCACTGGGCCTTAAGCATCCCCAGGTCTCCTGACTGCACACGCATGCCCACACGCTGCACCTGTTCCCTTACACTTGGGCAGGGGACCACCTCCCGCTCGCCCTGTCCGAGTGCTCAGAGTTCGTAAATGTGAGAGGTTGCACGGTCTGCTCTGAGTACAGTTAAGAACCATGACCTTCTACAGTGGTCACAGACTTTTACCAAAATGACTGAAAGGGAACCTAACAGTCACCTTCCTCCCCAACTGCTTCTGACTTGCTCTGGCTCCTGGAAGATGCCACTTCAGGTCAACCACCACCAACTTCTGGTGACAGAAACCCCCCTGTACGGATGGTCGGGCCTGAGAACCCAAAGGCAGAACAACTGGTCGACTGGGAAGCAGTGAGCCAACAGATGTTCTTAAATTTGTAATTAGTACTTTTTAAGAACCACTGCTCTCCACTCCTAAAGTATAAACTTTCCTGGTTGGCAACGTACTTGGTGATCTGTCTGCTAAGAGCCACAGTGAAAATCTCAAGCTGCAATCCAGAGACTTTGTGGAACTCACAGCCCGAGCCATGCACGACGTGCTCCAAACCACCCTTAAAAAAGCTGACTGTGCTTCCTAGGTTGTCCTAGGGATCTGTGCAAGCAAGGAGCCAGACCTGCCCTCCATCCCTGTGCAGAGACAGCTCCACCGACACGGAGTGCTGGCCAGACGGCACCCACTGAAGCAACGCCCAGCGGCTGTCTGCCTCCAGGAAGGTGGCTCCGCCGACTCTCCAGGTCTCAGCCCAGACACTGCTCCTGTCCTAAGCACAACTCTCCGGCCGTTCTCTGACCGGAACTCCCAAGAGGCGTCTATGGGTTGCTCTACGTGGAAGCTTGAAGAATCAGAAGCTAAGGCGGCCATGGCAGCCACCCAGGGAGAGCATCTTCTGTTCAGACAGGGCTGCTGGAAGAAGCCAAGCCCAGGGCCAGCCCAGAACAGCTGAAGCGGGAAGCTGGGAACCCAGCAGGAGCGCCCCGGGAGCTCTCCACACGGCTTAGTGAACAAGGGCTGGGGTCCGCCCTGTCGGAGCTGGAGGAGGCTCCAGCTGGCCGCGGGGCACACTGGCCCAGCCGTTAGAGGGTCGTCTTTAGTGCAAAGACGGCAGCGTTCTGCACAAGCACCCCTAGGAGCCTCACGGAAGTAAGAGTGAACACAGGCAAAGGTTCCTGCCTTGGGGGGCAGCCACGACAGTGCTAAGGAAGTGAAGTCACGGCCTCCAGGCCCCGGGGGGCAGCGAGCCAGGCCACCGAGACTCCCTGGGTTAGTGCCCGGTCCTCTGCTGTGGGGGGGAGCGCGACACCCAAGGCGAGTGTGCGGTGGCAGCGAGGGTTAGTTCTAGGCTAGGTGGCGGGAGTGCCCTGGCCGCCTGCAGGAGGCGGAGGCTGCCCTGGAAGCACACAGACTGAGCTGCTCTCTTAAGGGTTCCTAATGCTCACAGGGGGGAACTCATTCTCATCATCCAGACACACTGGTCCCGTCGCAAACTCGTGTTCAGGAATAACCTCTCCTCGGAGCGCCCCGCCGTCCTCAGAATAACCTGCAGACCAAGAAGGGGACGTGAGAGAGGCCACAGGGCCTCTTCCTGGGCCACGACCCCGCGCAGGACCTCGGAGAAAGGGAGCGTCCAGGGAAGCCCCGGAGGCCGCCTCTGCCTTGCAGGTGAGTCCAGCTCCCCACCACGTGATGGTCTCCGAGCCTTTGCGAGATGGGCAGCCGGGCCTCACCCACCGTCCACCCAGGTGCCTACCCTTTCCACCGTCCTCGGAGGCAGAGGGGCGTGTTAGGGAAAGGGGCCTGTCGTGTGGGGCCTGGGGGGCCACGGTCGAGTTCAGAGGCTCTTCCCGTGGCCTCTGTGGGTCAGGGCGCGCGGAGGGGAGAAGGGGCGCAGTCGGCACGCCCCCACGGCCGCTCACCTGGCACCGTGGAGGCGGACGAGGAGCTTGGTCTGGCCACAGTGGCGGCGTAGGACTGAGGTAAGGAAGGTCTGAGGTCATTTTCCTTGTTCTCTTCTGTTGTTCCTGAGCCAAGCAACCTAATCGGGGCAATGAAGAGGGAGAGGCACCAGGTCGCTCACGCTGGGCACTGGAGTTCCCGGATAGCCCTCCCCGGGCCCTGCCGGTGTGCGAGCTGGAGGGACCCTAAGCTCCCGGGGCCAACCATGCAACGTCACGAGGACCCCTTTCCCTTAGGCTGAATAAAGGACGACTGGCCCGGGGCTTTTCAGGGTACACCCAGGCAGGGACGCTGAGACAGCTCGCAGGGCTGCTCCGTGGGGCAGGGGCAGCTGCGTCCTGCCCACAGGCGGGAGAGGTCATCCCGTACTGGATCACAGAGGTCAAGATGACTTTTCAATTCCATTCAGTAAATATGCAGGGTGTCCCCCCAAAATGTATGCAGGGTGTCTGTAGAGTCTACTGCATTGTGAAGATGAACTGTATTTTAGTCAACACTGGCTTCATACTTATCCAAAGTGCATACGTGTTTTGGGGACGGCCTGTGTTTCTGAGCACCCGTTATGTTTTGATCTGCATGCGATTCACCCTGGCACCCTCCCAGGAGCGTGCGGCATGGTGAGGGCACCTGGCCCTGAGCCCCACCCAGAGCAGGTGCCCGCTAGAGGCTTGGCGCCGAGGCTGCCGGTAAAGGAAGAAGGGCCGGAGGCCCGGCGCTCGTCCCTGCTCTCTAGGCAACTCGACGCAACCGGCTGCAGACGGGCCGCCTGTGGGCACCAGTAACCACCTGTGAGTCTTGATTAGGACACACTCTCCTCCGTCCTGAGGGTCCAGGTTGTAGATGTAAAGGTTTCCGTCCAATGAAGCAACTAACAGCCTCGGCAGTTTCTGGATCCTGAGAGCGAGCGGAAGGTGCCGCGATTACAACAGGCTTC